CTTGTTACTGAGAGTGATATTCATGCTGCTTCAGAATATTTGACTATTTATAATGTGTCCCCCCTAATAGATCCAAGGAAATATAGAGGCAGAGGATTTTAATCATGGCAGCCACAGGTTTCCCGGGGCATTCCAGAAAAGTCTCAGGGAAAGATGCATGGATTTATGAAGGGCCAGCATGGAAGTGAGGAGGCAGGAAGAGGCTCTGGGGAGGGGGCGGGTGGGATTGATCTTTCTTGAGTCACTGACACCCTGTGTGTACACACGTGGATGGTGCAGACAAGGCTGGTGACTTCAGGGAGGAGATACACAACCACTCTCAGTAATTTTGATTTTGTTTTCCTGATTTGCAGAACCAAAGTCTTTGCTGTTCCTGTTGTGTAAGCTATTATACCCCAAGGGGATGATTTTAATAAAAAGGAAGCCTTACTCATTGCTACTAATACTGCGTGGGGTGCGAGCGCACAGCTGGAAATGTGAATTAATTAGAGACATGTGTTTCTTAGGCAAAGAAATGTCAGCCCTTTTAGTTCTATTATTGGGGCACTCTCATGGCAGGAGCAGTGTGGCTTGGTTCCATTTTTGGAGCAGGGCAGAGATCTGAAGAGGCTTCAGAGGAAGGAGGCAGACCTGCTCTGGGGGCTTCACGGCTGGCTTCTGTGCACGAGCACCTCCCTGATACCCAGTCCAGATCGTCTAGCTGCAGACAAGGGCTTAGATTTTCAAATGCACAATGAGACGAAAAACTCATTTTCTTGAAAACAAATGCTGGCTAAGACAACAGCCCAGTGAGAGTGAATGAGGTCAGCAGAACACAAGGCAAGGCCTACATGGTGGGGGGAGGGCACCCTGCCGTCAGGACTCTGTTGTTGTTGAGCAACAGAGCAAAGGGGATGTCTGTGAGGGCCACCCTCATAGTGGCACTGCTGTGGAAAAGACTGACAAGGGGCAGTCCACCCAGAGGCCTGAGGGAGCAGGGGTCCCCAAGTGGTCATCAGGGGCCCTGGGGTGCTGGAACCTGTCCTTCCTGATGGCTCTTAATGAGTTCAGCAAAGTTCAGATGCAGAAACTGTGAAATTTTGCATATCAGAGCTTTTTCCCTAGGAGAGCAGATTATAAACATTTACCCCTATACCACTGCCTGGGGTTCCCCTGGGCACCTTCAAGTGATCAACAGGCAAAATTATCTTCACGAGGATACTAAGATTGCATTCACCATTTTTACTCTCCCCTTCCATGAGTGCTTGCTGTTACTTTCCAGAAGCTATGCGACTGATGTAGCAAAGACTGAGTGCAGGTCCTCTCCTGAGGCAGAGACCTACAAGAATGTCAACAGTGCCCCTTCTCCCACAGATTTTGTTTTGGAGAATGGTTATATTTCTTAAAAACACTATTTATGTTAACCTCTAATTGCCTTATTATTAAAGTGAATTAATAACGAACACTTTTAATTGCTCAATTTTAATCTCAGATATGGTAAATATCAATGTCCAGAACCCTCATAAACCCAGGGTCCTCAATTTTTTAAAATAGACCATTTTTAGAGTGATTTTAGGTTCACAGGAAAATTGAGAGGAAGGCAGAAAAATTTCCCAGGTACCCCCTGCCCACTCCACAACCTTTCCCATTATCCACACCCCCTCCCCCACCACAGTGGTACATTTGTTATCATTGATGAACCTACATTGTCTAGGGCAGGAAAAATAATTGCCCTGCTACCCTCTCTTGAGTTCTTAGCTGAGACTCTGTAAAAAAAGGTTAACAAGAGAAAAACAAACAAGTTTGTTGATATATATACCTCATGTTTCATGAAAGAACCCAGGGAAAGGTAGTAATTCCTCAAGGTGGCTTAGAATTCGGGCTCTATCTACGTCAGGAGATGGGGAGGGGGGATGTGGGCTCTGGACAGTGTCTTTCATCAAGCAGAAAATTTTCAAGTCTAATAAATTCAATAAAGTCTAATAAATTGTTCCTTTCATGGATTGTGCCTTTGGTATTATATCTAAGACATTATCACCAAACTCAATCTCATCTAGATTTTCCTATTACTTTGTTAGAGTTTAATAGTTTTGCATATTACATTGAAACCCATGGTCCACTTTGAATTAATTTTTGTAAAGAGTACCAGTCTTGTGTCTACATGCTTTTTCCCCCCATATATGTGTTCAGTTGTTCCAGGACCATTTCTTGAACAGACTCTCTGCACCACCATATTGCCCTTTGCATGTTTGTCAAAGAGCATGTTGACTGTATTTGTGTGGATCTATTTCTGGGTTCTCTATTCTGTTCCATTGGTCTATTTTTCTGTTCTTTCAGTATACCAACACTCTGTCTTGATTACTGTAGGTTTATAGTAAGCCTTGAATTTGAATAGTGTCACTCCTCCAATTTTTCCCCACTTCTTCAATATTGTGTCGGCTATTTTGGGTCTTTAGTCCTCAAATGTTAAGCATGGACAGTGTGGGCAGTTCTGAGACCAAAAGTGTGAGAATTGCTGTTGTAAAGAAAGAGGGACAGACACACAGATGAGTGCAATAGATTCTTGTGTTAGGAAAGAGGATAGAATGTCTCAGAGAAATCTGAGGAGAATTTTATGCTTCCCACTGCCTTTCTGGGGTTGAATAAGCTTGTTGCTCTGTGGTATGTCTCTGAGACTCCAAATTTAGATACTGTGTGACACAGATAGGAGCCTGGTCTGGGGAGAGAATTTTCGAGAGGTATAGCACATGGATTGTCAATCCCTGGCAGACTAGAGAACAATAGGCGGGTAAGGGCCTGGACTTGGTTCTTTCGCTTCTCTGAGACAGAAGAGAGTTTTGGATTTTAGGGTCGCATGTGGAGATCACGAGTTCTGCCTCTTCACCTTTATAATTAAAACTTGTGTTAAATCTCAAGCATGAACCACGTTAAAAAAGGGGAACTGTCACAGCTTGTATGGCTCAGCTTCTGCCCTTGAAGAGTGCAGGAAGCACATGCAGAGAGGAAAAGGCGGGGTGGCTTTGGTTTCAAACCTCAAGATAAAAAACATCTCTAGGCTACTGGGCTTCTCAGAAAGCTTCACTTGTGACAGAGGCTAGTTGCTTTCTCGGCTCCAGCATCAGGCTCTGAGCACCTGGCTGAAGAGAGGCCAGTGGCTGACAGGAGCAGAGCTGAGCCATGAAGGGGACACCAATCTCCCCTCCGATGTCAGACCTTGGAGCTGCCTCAGGCCCAGTTGACCCCATCAAGTACAACAACTCATGAGGTGCTCCCAGGAGTCAGAGCAAGCGAGGCTGACGGGCCACCTTCATGTACCCTGTCTGTGGACAGGAGGCCACCCCCAGGAACCCCCCTGACAGCCTCTGTCCTTCAGTGTCTGCCAGACATGCTGTAAAAGTAGCAGCATCCTGTTGGGAGGCAGCGCTGCTCCTAGCCCGGCGCCTCAGGTGGGTATGGGAGTCCTTAGAGCCCCAGACATCATGTGCCATTTTATAGGGAGGTCAAGAGTTTTCATCAAATTTTCAAAGGCAGGAGGACATTGGGGGTCAAGAAGCAGAGGCCAACATGAGTTACAGCTGCCCAGCTGAGGGTTTTTCAAAAAGCCCATCAGTGATATCAATTCCACAAATAGCTGAGTTACTTTCCACACCCGCCTCAGGGCTAGGGACCGGCAGGCCACGCTGAGCAAGAGCATGTGCTGTCTGTGCACCACTGGGTGGCATGGATACAAACCCGATAATCCCACAAACATGTGTCCATTTTCATCGAGTATTGCTCTGAACGAAAGGAGCCTGGTTCTGTGATGGATCTAGCAGGGGAGGCTTAGTTTTTGTTTTGTATGCTTATCTATTTTTGAAGAGGCAATGCATCCATGTTCAAAGCTTCAAAAGGATTACACAGTGAAAAGTCTCCCCCATCTTATGATTTAGCCGCTCCCTGGAAGCCTTGCAAGTTACACAGATTGGTGAACAGGCATCGTGCTCTGAGAACAGGAGCGAAAGCTTACCTAAGGCGCTTGGAATGAAAACTGAGGCACGAGTGTGAGTTAACTAAGTGGAAAGCACTGGCAGGGGCACTCCAGAGGTGACGGCTTGTGCAAAGGCCCTGTGACAGGAGGCAGCGTGATGTATTAGTAGGACAGGAGGAAGGTCATGTGGCCAAGTGCAGAAAGCAAGGGGAAGGCAGTCCAGATTCTCCTGGCTGGGAAGGTACAGGCCTGTTGCCTGCCTGGCTTTCTCGACTTTTCTCTCAGAGCCAGGGGAACCACTGAAGCATGAGGGGAGATAACCTTCAATCATATTTGGGCTTTGAGACTGTCACCCTAACTAGCTCTAGCATGGAGAATGGACTCTGGGCTCTTATTTAGTTCAGGTCAAGATGCTGCTCACAGGTGGTGGTGACACAGGTGTATATCGTAGAAACGTCCTGGCGGACAAGGGTCTTGCTTCTGAAAAATGTTGAAGACATTCATTTTAGTTCTCTCAAAAGAGCAGATGGAAAATCCCCAACAAGAGTTTGCCTAGGATGCAGTTAACACCTGGTGATTTTTTTTTTTAAGATTTATTCATTTTTGCATAGAAGAACCAGGGTGCAGGCTAGAGGGGTACCAGAGGGGTAGAGGTAAGAGGATTCGCCAGAGACAGAGTGGGGACCAGAACAGATGGATCTACTGAAATACACTGCTGAGGGGAACAGCGGGGAGACAGGAGAGGTCTGCTGCACCCTATGGGTCACCTCCCTGGCTGGGGATAGTTTGCTAGCACTGACTTAACCCCTGCACCACCAGGGAGGCCCAACACATGGTGATTTTTTTTGGTCCCAGCGTGTGGCCAAACCAACAGGGTGACCCAGACTTCTGTGGAAGGTTGCTGGACTGAGGGCCGAAGTCTCCGGATGTTTCTGGCCCAGCCTCCTGGGAGGCCCAAACACATCTCCCCACTTGGGAGCCCCAGGTCCTGGGGGTGTTTAAAGTCATCACCCGACATTGTCAAATTAGGAACCTTCTCTTTTCCTGCCCCCAGGATGGCTTCCGCCGAGGCTCGCGGAGGCGGCACCTGTGGCTTCACACGCCAGAACTCGGGCAATTCCCTGTCCTTGGACTTCGAGCCCGAGGCGGAGTACCACTTCGTGGAGGTGCTGCAGGAGCGCTACAAGTGCGCGCGCTGCCGTGCTGTCCTGCACAACCCGCACCAGACAGGCTGCGGCCACCGCTTCTGCCAGCGCTGCATCCTGGCGCTCAGGTGGGGCCAGCTCCCAGCGCCCACACCACGCCGAGGGGCTGCTGGGCGCCTGGGACCACAGAACCCGGGGTGGCAGGGTCGCTCCCGGGTCCTTCTGTGAGCGCCTGGGCCATTCTCATCGTCATCATCACCTTTTCTTACCATACCAAGACACCTGTTTTGCTTGCAAGGGCAAACCCAGAAGCACATTCCAGGCTGGCAGGACCTGTTTTCCATAGGGGTCTTGGCTACAGTCACCCCATTTTTGCCTAGAGGAGAAGGGGGTGTGACAGCATCCAGACAGGGCTCCCTGCCAGGGTGACGTCCCTTGTGTCCACATGGGCAGCTGTAAATCTGAGGTGATGCATTCTAGGGGGGATGCCAGAAGAGTGTGGGGTCTTACTGAGGGCCAGTAAGGAAGTCGCACCTGCCAGGCCTGGGGGAGAGGGCTAAGTGTTCTTTTAATACATTCACATCCCTTTGTGGGTTTGCCCACGTGTTGCTGTGTGTTCCACACCCCTTACTAAACGAAGCTCTCCTGTATGAAGAGCTAGAGGTCCCATCATGGAGCAGGGCCCACTCTCTGCCCTCTAGAACCTTCCAGTCCAGTGATGAAGACAGGGTGTGGCACAGCTCTTGAGCAAGGTCCTGCCAGGGGCATTCAGCTCTGCCTGGGGGACCTGCTCTTTGACTTGCACCCTGGAGGATGAATGGGAGATTTTTTAAAAAAGATTTATTTATTTATGCATACAAGAGCTGGGGTACAGGCCAGAGATGCGGGGGGTGAGAGGATTCACCAGAGACAGAGAGGGGAGCAGAACAGGCAGATCCACTGAAATCCACTGCTGAGGGGAAGCAGCGGGCGAGACAGGAGAGGTTTGCTGCACCATGTGGGTTTCTCCCTGGCCGGCCGGAAGTGAACTTGTGCTGCAGAGGCTGCGGACAGCTTCATAGTGCGGTGCATAAGCCTTTGCGCCACCACGGAGGCCCTGAATGGGAGATTTTTAGGCAGGCTGGGTAGGTGCTGAAAATTGGGTGTGGGGGGGGGGGCCTCTGTGAGGAAGGAACAGCACGAGCAAAGGCAAGGATGGTCTGGTTGGGGAATTCAAGGGGTTGAGTGTGACCGAGTGCTGCGTTGCTCTTAGAAGCAGCGTTGAGGTCAAGACTTCACCCTGCCTCTGTTTTACTTCTCTCTGCAGAGAATTAAACACTGTAGCCCTCTGCCCCGTAGACAAGGAGGTTATCAAGTCTCAGGAGGTAAGAAAAGTACCACTTTGGTTCAGCTCCTTGGGGGGGTGGTGGGAAAGCAGTGTCCTGACTGGACCTGGGGTTGGAGCAGGAGGGGTCCCCTTGGAGTGTAATCCTTTGTCTTGGGGTCAGGTCAGAGAGGCCATTTCACGTCTTTATTGATCTGGTCTGGTTTCCTCAGCTTCCTCCTCCCCTGCGTCCTCCACGCCAATTCCACTGAGCTGCTGGGAATGAGATGCCCAGTTTCAAGGAATTCTTTCTACTCTGGTTAATCTCTAATGCTCCTTTGATTAGCATTAGGGTTAAGAACCACTTTACTGAGCTAGAATGCACATCCCTCAGCACCCGCCTTCTGAGGCTGCCGCCACTGAATCATGTGGCCATAACTACTACCAAATCCCAGAACATTGTCACCACCCAAGATGTGGGTGGTGTTGATGGGTCATAACGCCTCAGTCCTTCTTCCAGCCCTTAGCAACCACGAACCTAGTTTCTGTTTCTGTGGATTTGCCTGTTCTGGATATTTCGTAGAACTGGAGTCAGACAACCTGTGGCTTCTTGTGCCTGCTCCTTCTCAGGCCCCTCCCTGTTGTAGCACGCCGCCCCAAACCTCCTTGCTCAGCCGCGCTATGTTTACCCATTTATTCACGGATGGGCTTTTGGGTGGTTTCTACTTTGGGGCTGCAGGCGGATGTGACTTGGTCTTCCCTGCGCTTGGCTCTATACCTTGGCACAGAATTGCTGAGTCATAGGTAGCTCTGTGCTTCCCCGTCTGGGGCTCTGCCAGACTGCTCCTTGGCAGCCGCTCAGTTTATGTTCTCCCAGCACATAGCACGGGAGTTCCGTTGCTCCAGATCCTTGCCTGAGAGTGTTCTTGCCCATCATTCAGAGCATAGCCTTCCCCACGGGTGTGAAGTGGGTCTCCTGGTTTTGATCTGCATTTCTCTAGTAGCCAATGACATTAGGCGCCTTGCCACGTACACAACGGCTATTTGTGGAAATGCCTGTTCTGTCCCTTTGTCCATGCTTAAAGCGGAGTGTTTGTCTCTCCTTGATGTGTTGCAATTATCTTTTACATAGTCTAGGTGAAGTCTCTTACCAGATACACAATTGGCACAATTTTTCTGCAATTCTGTGGTTTGTCTTCTTGCTTTCTTGATTGTGTCCTTTGAAGCACAAAAGTTGCATTTTGATGAAATCTTATTTATTTTTTGTTTGTCTCAATCATTTGTTTCTTTAGTGTTGTATCTAAGAAATCATTACCTAATCCATGGCCAGGAAGGTTTTCTTCCTTATAACTTCCATTTAAACCCATTTTTCTCCCTTTAAATTTCTGTCGTGGGCTGCCCAATCTCACCTCCTCCAGGAAGGTCCCCAGCACCTCCTCTGATGCACACATACCTGCTCTCTGCTCTTGTGGGGTGTTTTATAAACATGTGGCAGAAGACAGTGCTATACTGTGTCTGCCTGACCCACAAGGCCAGGTGTGAGCATACTTCAATCATGGCAGAAATCCAGCCCGCCTCCTGCTTCTGAATGGCCTGGGAGCTAAGCCTGGTTTTTATATTTTTAAATCATTGAAAAAATTCAAAAGAAGGCAAGCAGAAATTCTGCTACTTTTGCAACTCCTCGTGACTCTTAAACTATTTGAAGATAAATATCTATTAAAACTCCAAAGTAGAATGTTTAATGATATGAGAATTATATGAAATTCAGATGTCAGGGTGTATAACCAACATTTCATTGGAACACAGTGCTCCCTGACATTTGGGTATTGGGAATGGCGGAAACGGGGGCAGTGTGGCCTGAAAAACCAAAAATATTTGCCATCTGACTGTGGGGAAAGTTTGCCAACCCCGGCTAGTGCTGAGTAGCTGTCAGTGCAGCTTTGGTGACACCACTGGGTAACTAATACAAACGTTCACCCTGGGACAGGAAGCCAAAGGCATCACCCTCCTCCACAGCCCCACCTCCTGACCTTTGAGGAGGTGAGGTCAAGTCCACCATGAGATTTTCATAGCTGCAGCTCCTGCGCTGGCCTGAAGTCAGCAGGAGTTGTGTGCTTGGTGGCTGTGAGCGGTGTCTGTCTCTCTAGTGCGGTGGTGAGTCTCATATTTCCATGCCAACCCCCATCTGGAAGTTTCCACCCCTTTTCTGAGATTAACCTGAAGACCAAATTAATAATAGCTTCCTGCGCTTTGTTCTGAAGTTGGGCACGGGCAAGCCCTCTCGTGTGTCTTTCAGGTGTTCAGAGACAACTGCTGCAGGAGGGAGGTGCTCAACCTCTACGTGTACTGCAGGAACGTGCCTGGGTGCAGCACCAAGGTCATTCTGGGACGATACCAGGTTGGTGTTTCTTACTAACCACAGTCCCCTTTGTCATCAGTCTGGCGATGTGGCATGATCAGCTTTATGTGACAGTTCCTGAGCTGAGAGCACCGGGGAATTCACTGAGCTGCCCTTAGAAATTCCCATTTGGCAGGACAGGCGAGGTAGTGCTGTGCCCTGCGCGATGTGTGTGTGAGCTAGAAGGTTCCTTGGGGGAAGGGGGATGCGGGGGGGCATACCAAGGATCTAAGTGGTGAGGACCTCCTCCCACTAGGACATGTTATTTGGGGGCAGCGTGGAGGGCCTGGGGTCCCCAGGGTGGAACTGCAGAAGGACACCTGCGAGGGGTTCTTGCCAAAGGCATTTGCAGGTGCTGGGATGTGTCTCCCGGCAGATGGTGGACAGGTGTCAGCAGAGCTCAGGGATGTATCAGTAGTTTAAAGGTGAGACACTAGTGTGAGGTGCCAAGAACAGGGCCTAGGACAGCCCTGCTCCTTTTTCTGGAAGCTGCCCTGCTCTCTCTGCCAGTGGAACACCTAGGCAAGGCTCAGTCACCCCCGACTTCCAGGGAATTGCCTGGAGCAGCTTTGTGCCTCCTGACATTTGTGGAAACATTTCAGGTGATTCAGTCTTTCTCCATCCGCCTCCAACCCCTCCCCCAGGCGTGGAGCATCTGTGAGTGGGAACAATTTCCTCCTTCACCCAGGGGTGTCATCTGAGGCTCATGGAGCTGCTTGTGTCTTCCTCATGCTGCCCTCGCCACCTTAGAAGGGCCGCTAAGCCTGGACAGGGGGGTGGGGCTCACAGACCCCCAAACCGGCACAGTGACCACCCCCCAGTTTCTGCACAATGGAGGCTGTTTGGCTCACCCATTTCTGTGATTTACCCTCATTCTCTGTCCCCTGGCCAGGAGGGGGGCTGCACAGGTGGAGGATCTCATGAGTCGAGACTCTTGTGGTGAGTGAGGGGCAGTAGCACGTGTTTTCTCTAGTGGAGCTGGAGGAAACTCGTCCTGGTGTTGCTCTACACCCCACAGAGACACCCCTCTTTCCTTCAGAGAAGGGGCAGCAAACTCTTCTTCAAGAGCCAGGCAGCAACCCCTTCAGGCTCTGCTATGGCTGCCCCACCAGAAGCGAACACATTGTTGTGGCTGTTTGCCAGTAAAACTTTATTCACAAAAGCAAATACTGGTCCAGGTTTGGCCAACAGGGCTGATTGTCAGCAGCACAGCTTTGTGCAGTGACCCACAGGCTTTATTCAGTCAGGCTGTGTAGCAGATCTGTGATGAGACAGTCACTGTCCAGTCACCTGCTCGTGTTCTGGTGAGACCATTCCCTAGCTCTATAGGTTGGCCTTTCTCAGCTTCTCTGGGCCTGTGATCCTGAGTCTCCTGCCACTCCTTTTCTTTACTACTTCTGGAACATTCCTCTCCGTCCCTTTTCTTCCTGTGGTCCTCTCCCTTCCTTTATTCCTCTAGTTAGGATTTGCCCTCTCCTCTCTTAACTCAGACACCAGGCTTCTGCCTCCTGCTGTGCAGGGGTGATACTTCAGTGCTGGGGGCAGAGTTAGAGGGTGACCAAAAGAAATAAAAAATCTCCTTGAAGAACTGGTAGAATAAGTGGCAAGCCTAAGGGAAATTGTTAAGAACAAAGATGAGAATGTAAGCCGGCAATAGATAATCTAAAGCAAATCGGGCTGACCCCTCCTTTATCCATCATCCCCTGACCTGCTGACTCCTGTGCACAGCTGGCTTGCACGCCTGCCCTCCCAGCAGTCCCTCCTGGCCATGTGTCTATTGCAGGAACACCCTCAGCAGTGCTCCACCCTCCTGGAGGCCTGTCAAGGCCTGTGTCTGTTACAGGAGCACCCTTAGCGGTGTTCTGCCCTCCCCGCAGCCGGTCAAGGCCTGCCTGTGTCTGTTACAGGAGCACCCTCAGCACTGTTTCGCCTTCCCGGTATCTGTTACAGGAGCACTCTCAGTGGTGCTCTGCCCTCCCGGCGGCCCGTCAAGGCCTGTATCTGTTACAGGAGCACCCTCGGTGGTGCTCCTGCCCTCCCGGCGGCTGGTCAAGTCCTGTCTCTGTTTTGTTTTGTTTTTTTAAAGATTTATTTATTTATTTATACATACAAGCACTGGGTAGAGTCAGAAGCGCGGGAGGGTGAGAGAATTCACCAGAGCCAGAGCGGAGAACAGAGCAGGCAGAAGGACCAAAGTACACTGCTGAGGGGAGCAGCGGGCGGCAGGAGAGGTCTGCTTGCCATGTTGTACCCTCCTCCGGTGGCCGGGGAGCAGCTGGGGATCGAACCGGCACTGCAGAGGCTGCAGGCAGCTTCGCAACCCAGCGCTCAACCGCTGCGCCACCGGGAAGGCCCAAGTCCTGTCTCTGTTACAAGAGCACCGCTGAGGGTGCTCTGAGCACCCTTAGCGGTACTCCACCTTCCCAGGGGCTGGTCAAGGCCTGTGTCTGTTACAGGAGCACCCTCAGCTGTGCTCTCCCCTCCTAGCCACCCATCAAGGAATGTGCCTGTTACAGGAGTACCCTCAGCGGTGCTCCCCCTTTCAGGGGCCAGTCAAGTCCTGTGTCTGTTTCAGGAGCATCTCCAGCAGTGCTCATTTCAAGCTGTGCCGTGTCCTAATGACAGCTGCCGGGAGCCAGTGCTTCGGAAGGATCTGACAGAGCATCTGAGTGCACACTGCCAGTACCGAGAGGAAAAATGCCTCTACTGCAAAAAGGATGTGACTGTCATCAATCTCCAGGTAAAAAGCCAACAGAAACTCAACCTTCCTGGGATGCTCAATTTGGCCTGCGAGGCCACGTGAGTCACGGGAAGCCCCAGCAGTCACTGGACAGATTCTTCTACAGAAACAGGCAATAACTTCACGGAGAGAAGTCCTGTAAAACATGAAAAACCTTTTTGTGGCTAGGACCCGGCCTATCGCCTGAGCCCCTCTGCGTGCGGGTGCGCGGGGGTCCGCGGGACCGCACAGCCTCTGGGTGCCGGACGGCGCAGGGGAAGGACCTGGTGACCCTGGAAGGGCCTCCCCTGACCCGCGCCAGGGCGGCCAGAGCAGCAGCTTCAGGGGCCGCTGCCTCTTACCTGCTCCTGGGATAATGAGAAGATTGGCCTGAATCCATTTATCCCACGCAAGCAGCCCTCGACTACCCTTTTTGGAAGCAGGCCATGCTTCCCGGAGGGGGAGCCACAGAACACGCGCACCCCAGGCCTCGGTGTGAACTCTGGGGAGGTGGGGTGGGAAGGGGGCGGGACGGGGGGGGGGGAGGGCTCTGGAGGCCGCGCGGGAGGCAGGGAGGGGAGCGCGGGGCGCTGGGAGCGTGCGGGGGCGGGGCGAGCGCGGGGCGGGGCGAGCGCGCGGGGCGGGGCTCTGGCTCACCACCTGCTCTGTCGCAGAGTCATGAGGAGAACCTGTGTCCGGAGTACCCGGTGTCCTGTCCCAACAAGTGTCTGCAGGTTATTCCGAGAACCGAGGTAACTGGAAATAGCCCTCTCCGTGGAGTTTCTGTGAGTAGAGCTCCGTATTCCTGGGGTGTGTGTGTCATGGAACCCCATTGTAGGCAGGGCATGCTGCCCGGCTGCGCCCTGGATGCTGTGCGCCCTGTGTCCGGCCCTCGCCAGCCTCCGGGAGCGCCCCCCTGCGCGCCCCGCCTTGGCGGCTCCCCTTGGGTCCCACCGCCTCCCAAGCCCCCTGTCCTGCCGCAGCGGCGCCCGCAGCCCGAGGGGCGCTGAGGAATTCCTGTCTGCAGGTGGAGCAGCACCTGGCTGTGTGTCCCGAGGCAGAGCAGGACTGCCCTTTCAGGAGCTACGGCTGCCCTGTGAAGGTAGGGACTCCGGGATCTGTCCCCACATCCGCTGTGCCCGTCACTTGGGAGCATCGCTGTGCTTGATTCCTCTCAGGATTCGAAGGATGCTCAAGTTGGAGAACTTTAGTTCTTAGTCTTAGTTTTCTTAGTCCGGGTTCTTAGTTATCTTAGTCCGGGTTCCTCAGAGCTGCAGAACCAATAGGAGAGCTAGGGGTCTAGCCATCCATCCGTCGTCCATCTGTCTGTCATCCATCATCTATCTGTCTCCACTTATCCCTGTCCATCTCTCCACCTCTCTATATCTGTACGTCCGTTCATCTATCCATCCATCTCAATGAGAGAGACAGAGGAGAGAGTATTTATTTCAAGGAGTTGGCTCACTCAACTGCAGCAAATGTGCAATGTGCAGGGCAAGGGGCCCCTGGACAGCGGGTGGAGCCTCTGGGCTGCAGTCTTGAAAAGTACTGCTTCTTCAGGAGACCTTAGGCTTTGCTCTTAAGACCATCAAGTGATGGGAGGGGGGTGCTTACTCATGCCAACAGACTGTAGATGTTGGTCACATGCACAGAGACCTTCACAGCAACATCTGGTGTAGACAAGCACCTGGGCCCCAGCCTGGCTGAGGTGACACAAAGGGAACATCAGGTAATGATCTCAGACTGCCCCGCTGCCTCTCCCAGGTTTGGGCCGCACCCAAACCAGTGGCTCCTCTGATGATTCGGGTGCTCTCACCTGTCACCACGTATTTGAAACTGAAGTGGTATGACATCATGGTTTGAAATGTATTTTACCCTTTATATATCTTTAAAAGTATTAATTTAATGTATGAAGTAAACTAGAAAGATTGACCCACACTGTTTTCAAATAGATTGCAGATGAATCAAAGTTTTAGACTTCAAAATATATCATACTCTGGTTATTCTGTATTGCTATTATTAGGCATTACATATTTCATTATATATTTTCATTATTCGGTATTATTACTTTGTGTTACCGTTTATTTTCTATAAATCTAAAATCACTCCAAAAGACCTGATTTAAAAAAAAAATAAAGATATTAGAAGAGAAGACAATGGAATTTTCTTTTTATCCTTGAAAGAAAGAAGGCCTTCCTTAGATGACTAACACCGAGCCAGAAGCCATAATTTTGATAAGTTTAACCACAAATATTTAAAACTTCTAAAAAATTGATAGGATTTTTAAAAAAGTGTTGCACGTAAAGTCAAAATGGCAAACTGAAAACTGGAGGTAAATATAGTGATCAGACAAAAAGGTACTTAATAGAAAAATAGAAACTTAATGGAAAAATAAGTAAATGAGCATATGGCCACATCAGGGAAATTTGGCTGGCTGGTAGATGCAAGAAAAGATGCTCAGTCTCACCCGAAATAAGTGTAAATTATAACAAGAAATCATTTTTACCATTAAGTTGACAAAGATTTAAACAATTTATAACACCCAACTTTTTTTTTGAGGATAGTTTTGTTATATTTATGAAAATTAAAAGTGAACCCACACATTGACCTTGCAATTCTGCCACTGGGAATTTATCTCAAAGATATCCTCTCATGAGTGTGCAGCTCTCTTTCACACACACACACACACACACACATTTTGCTAAATGTTTATTTAGCAAAAAAAAAAACCTAAAACTAAAACCACCAAACTAAAAACAACCTATAAGTCCATCACTAAAGTTCCAACTATATAATTATGTATTCATATTTTGAAATACTATGCATCTGATCAGAAGAATGAAAAGGGTGTATTTTTAAATTAAATATAGTCTAGTCTCATGGTGTTAAAAATGTGCACGTAGCTTTGCTGACTAATGAACCAGACTAGGAATTTTTACTATCCTTCTGCTTCTCACTATGTTGTTTGGCATAATCAAACAACTTACTTAAAAGACTATTTGGAAAATGTGTATTATGAGGAGACTTTAAAATAAAATCCAGGAGGACTACATACCTTTGCCACGTATCAAACCAGCAGTGTTCTTGGCTTTATCTCATTAGTGCACAAATCCAGATCTCCTTTCAGCCCTGAAAGGGATTCTTTTTACAGTTAGGCCCAAAATTGCAATTGGGTTGCATTCTGGAACTTACCTCAGTACCAGAGCAGGGGTGCAGGGGCTGCTTTCTGCAGGAGGGCCCAGCCCTAAACACAAGGGGACCTAATGGCAAAGGTAGAGCCCACAGATACTCCAAACACCCAACATTTGCTTTTACCAGGAATGAGGCAGTTTGCAATGGAATACTTTAATAATCAGGGAGGAAGTAGCCATTTTGTTCTTGCACATATGTCACTTGAGGGCAGAGCATTTGCGTGGGTGGAGATGACAACGAGGTTACCTGCTCTGTGGGGCCAGCAGGACCGTGGTGGAGGCAGCATTGTGTGTGGAAGCGGGGGGATTCGCAGGGGTGAAGCCTGACCTGCGGAGGCCCCAGGGGGAGATGGGACTCGAAGAGAAGAGCTGAGAGAAGCTGATCATGCACTTGACCCACAGTTCTCTGCTCTCAGGCAAGGAAGGAAATCGTCATCAACTCTGAGACTTTGAATCGAGGTCCGATTCCTGGTCTCTGTGTTTAGGAGCAGTCTCCTTGGCTAGGGGGAGAGTCCTAAAGCTGGGATGAGGAAGCAGAGGGGTCACCTTTACTGCCACCCGCCCCGAGCCAGGTGCTTGTGTGAAAGGTCAGCAGCACAGTCAAGGTTCAGTTCACAGACACCTCTCCCCCGCCACCGCCACCCGCCCCACCAACACCTTTGCTTTACTGTTCTCTCCACATGGAAGGACAAGCTGGGGAACCTACGGGAACACGAGCACTCAGCCCTCCGGGACCACATGATTCTGGTTTTGGACAAGAACCTCCAGTTAGAAGAGCAGGTAACTATTCAAGGGCTCAATTGCAAAGGGTGGGGCAGGACGGCTAGGCTTTGCCATGCTCGGTGCTGTATATTCTCCTATTTCTAAGTCGACTGGAGGTAGTTTTTTTCTGCTGAGCAACCAGCCAGACCACCCCCCACTCCCCACCCAGGGTTATAGAACATTAAAATTACAAAGTGCCTGGAGGTCTTTGGGCCAACCTGTCCAGTCACCAAATGAAGGGTCCAGGCTCAAAGAAATCACCAGATTTTCACTTATAAGTGGCAGAATTCAATCGCAAGACCATGGCCCCTGATTCCTAGTCCAGCATGTTTCTGAGGTGTGCCCTACAACCTCTCTGCAGCCTGCCCGTGCCTTTGGGTTCCTATCTGGCACCTGATACATTTTAAATTAAATCAGCAGCAGATAGTGGACTATCTGCTCTAGACCTGAGGGATTATATATTTTGTAATAAGCTTTTACTTCTGCCTTTGGGGAGCTTTGCAGCCTGGTAAGTGCAGACCTACATTCTGATTCACTGAGCTGCGACTGTCGCATAAAATGATGTGAACACCCTGGGGTAGTCAGCGGACCTCAATAAATGCTGACTCTGTGAGTAACCATCACCAAAAGTTAACTATATTGGTAAATTATCTCAGAGGCCGGACGCACCAAGGCCTCTTCATGTGCAGAGAGAGCTGAATTTTACCGCTGCAGATTATTTGATTATGTCTGATTTCTAGCTACAGTAGGTGGGTGAGGTCCAGGGTCAGATCTTGGTGAACTTTAGAAAGCATGACTAAATGGATTTTTGGTACAGATCATGCTGCCTGGAAAGTATTCTGTATCAGTTGCCTCATCCACCCATCCATTCATCCCTCTCTCCATCCATCCATTCATCCATCCATCCATCCATCCATCCATCATTCCATCTGCCCATCCATCCACCCACCCGTCCATACATACATCTACTTACCTATCCATTCACCCATCCTCCATCCATCCATCCACCCACCTATCCATCCACCCGTCCATACATACATCCACTTACTCATCCATCCATCCATCCATCTACCCACCCACCCATTCATCCATCCATCCATCCCTCACCCCATCACTCCATCCATCCAACCAGCCAGCAAGTCCTCTCTCATTTCTTCCCTCCCTCCGTCCACCCATCCACTCATTCAACAAACATTTATCAAGCTCCTCCTGGTACCAGGCACCAGGTCAAATTCTGGCTTTGCAGTGGACCCCAGACCCTGTGGAGCTCCCTTTCTGGTGCATGTAGGGGGCTAGGTGGGAGCACTATGTAGGACACACAGGACGCTGTTGTAGCAGCCTGGGTAGGAAATAAGGAAGCCTGGAAGAGGTGAGATGAGATGAGAAGAGACTGTAACAGGTGTTTGTTGGCATCTATGATGCCAAGCATTGCTGGTTGAATGGCTGTGAGAATGACAAGAGTTGTCTGAGATCACTCTTGGGCTCTTTGTTTTCTCTCGCAAGCAGATGACAATTCTAAAGGTAGCACACATCGTCTCTCACTTGTTACAGCTAACTCTTGGCCTCTGTTTTTTTTTCATCTGTGAAATGGAGCTGATATTTGAAGCAACTCATGGGGTTCTCTGAGGATTAAAAGGGCTAATGAATACAGGGGGTGATAGACATTTGGTGCACGTCAGCTATTTCTGCTGCTTCTCTGCATGGAGTCTCTCCTGCTTGGCCATTGGTCCGAGCCCCTGAGTGCAGAGAGCCTCAGTAAGTCCAGACCAGCGAAGCACAGTTGTTTTGCGAACCAAGAGGTCAGGGAGGAAGAAGGTTGATAAGAAATCTGTGGATCTCATTTTGCCCCAATTACCTATATTGATATAGGAGTCATCCTGTAAATATTTTTCTAGAAATGTATATTCATGTATTTCCTAGAAACACTTTCTTTCAGGCAAGTATTTTCCTAGAACTTACACACTTAACTTCTGTGTAAGTACCTGAATAACCTCATCCACATTCCTGTTATTAGATTTCAGATTTACATAAGAGCCTGGAGCAGAAAGAAAGCAAAATACAGCAGCTGGAAGAAACGGTACAGAAATTTGCAAAGGAATTCAAGCAGTTTGCATCGTTATTTGGCAGAAACGGAAGCTACCTCTCCAGCGCACAGGTGAGAGTGGCCTTCCTGTTAAGGCCAAGTTTAGCTTGCAACTGACATGAGGTTTTCTTTTCACCTGTTAAATGGATGCAATTTTTAATGTACAGAAAAACTGTAGGAATAAGAAATTGCAAAGAACGTCTGTGTATTCTCCATCCAGACACACTCATTGTCAACGTTTGTCTCCCGTGCCTCATTTTCTGTGTGTGTAATGTGTGCGCACATGTGCATGTACATTGTTCATGTGTGTGTTCATGTGCAACCCTATGTGTATGTGAGTATACAGGCCTCTGTGTGTATACAAAGGAGACCCATCATATCTTACCATCTCGTTCCTGCCTTTTTCTAATACAGTGACCAGAGTAAAGGCACTTGAGGGCAAGAAGGGGGAGAAATATAGCTGTCATTTTCTCTAATCTCTTCCATCTGAGGAGAACGAGCTGCGTCCAGGCCTCCCCTCTGGGCCCCTCTGTAGCAGCTGTGCTGCTCAGGCCAGAGCAGGTGGGCCAGTTTCCAGCATGTTCCCCACTTCCTTGTGGAGAAAGGCTCCTGAGAAGAGAAGGTTGTATAAGGGGAGCGATGACATGAGGTAGAGGTAGGGGTAGGAACCTGCTGTAGGGGCCTCCCTGGTGGCGCAGGGGTTAAGACTCAACCTCTGAAGCTGTCCACAGCCACTGCAGCACGAGTTCAATCCCCGCCAGGGAGCTACGCACAGGATGCAGCAAACCTCTCCTGTCTCCCCGCTGCTCCCCTCAGCAGTGGATCTCAGTGGATCTTCCTGTTCTGCTCCCCACTCTGTCTCTGGTGAATCCTCTCACCCTCCCCATACCTCTGGCCTGTACCCCAGTTCTTGTATGCATAAAAAATTAAAAAAATAAGAAAAGAAAACTGACTGCAGAGAAACAGGGGGTGTGGGAACCAGAAAAGGGCCTCAGGGATTTGGAGCAGGAGCTGGAGGGGTGGGGAGAACCCAGGCAGCTCCTCCTCCCACAGAGTCTCCTTCTGGACAGTGTCACTTTCCTCTCATTTTTTTTTTTTAAATTTCTTTTCTTTTTTTTTAAAGAGTTATTTATTTATTTGTTTGTTTGTTTATACAAGCACTGGGTACAGTCAGAAGCGCGGGAGGGTGAGAGAATTCACCAGAGCTAGAGCGGGGAGTAGAACAGGAAGAAGGACCGAAGTACACTGCTGAGGGGAGCAGCGGGTGGCAGGAGAGGTCTGCGCGCCATGTGGGACCCTCCTCTGGTGGCCGGGGAGCAGCCGGGGATTGAACTGGCGCTGCAGAGGCCGCGGGCAGCTTCGCAACCCAGCGCAACCCAGCGCTCAACCGCTGCGCCACTGGGGAGACCCACTTTCCTCTCATTGATTGGTTAAATGTGAAATGTATGAGTCGAAAAAAAATCTAATGTCAACAGTCAATGTTACTGAACTCTCCACTAATGTTTCTGACATTACGATCACTTTGTATTGACAGGTGCTGGCCAACCACATGGACAGGTCAGTGTGGCTGGAGGCTCAAATGCGCCAGCTGTCACAGACGGTCAACCAGCAGCCAACTAAACACGACCTGAGGTCTCTGAGGGAAGCGGTTGACGCATTGGAGCACAAAGTGGCCCTGCTGGAAACCAATGGCCACAAACTAGGTACTCCCCCACTGACCTGGGAGGCTCGTGGCCCTGGCAGGGGGAGGGAAGAGCTGTGCAGGCAAACAGTGCTTCAGCCTGGTGTTCGTCAGAAAGGACATTTTGGCCACGAGGGCAAAAATGGCTGCGAGGCGGGAATTGGCAAGTAGATCAAGAACAGGGATGACGGCTCTCAGGAGAGTGGAAAACAATGAGAAAGCAAAGGGAGAGATGTGGTCAGTTCTAAGTAGAAACAATATATAAAAGTAGGCGCAGTTTAAAAGGTCTGCCCCAGGCCACACCCCTGAAACTTACATAATGTCATCAGGCGGTGATCCTGCCATTTAAGTTAAATTTAGAAAAGAAATTAAATGAGCGTGCCAGCTGGCCCATCTGCTAGATGCACGTGAGCTCCAGCCAGAGGCACTGCAGTTTGCTCCTCTGCCCCAGGCGTGAGCCTGGACTCCCTGAGTCAGTTTTAATGCAAGTGGCCCTCTGGGGACATTGACTCAGCTCACCTCTAGGGTGTCTGAGCACTGTTGGTGCCCCCAGAGAGCTAGAGTCCTCTCGGGTGGCTTCTGCAGGCAGTGGGGGGCCACGCATCTTTTTCCCTCCACAGTGGTTTTGGAAGGAGAGACCCACAAGCATGATGCCCACATTAACATCCACAAGGCACAGCTAAACAAGAATGAGGAGCGGTTCCGGCTACTGGAGGGTGCCTGCTACAGTGGCAAGCTCATCTGGAAGGTCACGGACTACGCGGCCAAGAAGCGGGAGGCGGTGGACGGGCACACGGTATCCATCTTCAGCCAGCCCTTCTACACCAGCCGCTGCGGCTACCGGCTGTGCGCCCGGGCCTACCTGAATGGGGACGGCGCGGGCAAGGGCACGCACCTGTCGCTCTACTTTGTGGTGATGCGCGGCGAGTTTGACTCACTGCTGCAGTGGCCCTTCCGGCAGCGGGTGACACTCATGCTTCTGGACCAGAGCGGCAAGAAGAACCACATCACGGAGATGTTCAAGGCTGACCCCAACAGCAGCAGCTTCAAAAGACCGGACGGGGAGATGAACATTGCCTCCGGCTGTCCCCGCTTTGTGGCCCATGCCACTCTGGAGAGCGCCAAGAACATCTACATCAGAGAGGACACCCTGTTCCTGAAGGTGGCTGTGGACTTGAATGACCTGGAGGACCTCTAGGCTATTTCTGGGCAGTAACAGGGCACTGGGACCCAGGCTGCGGAGGAGGCCCAGCTGTCATGGGGTGACTGGCCACAGATCACTGGCCTTGGGTTCTTTGCCCACAGGTGTCTAAAGTCACTATACACCTTCTGAAGTGCTCGCCGCTTTCCACACTCTGCTCGGTCCCAGTGTGACACCATAAACACTTAAACTCCCTTCTTCTTATTTATATTTTTGAGCCTTTTGAAGATGGTACGATTCTTGGAAGCAGGGCCTGGCGGGCGCTGAGCCTGGGGCTCGGGCACGGTGCCAGGTGAGTGAGTGACCCAGGCCACCCTGCTGGATTCCCCATTCAGAGTACTTTGCTATTTTATTCTCTGCCCTGTTGATTCCAGACCTGGGTCTACGCCAGCAAAACCATCTTGGAGGGCAGCTGTGCCAGCGGGTAGATGGGGGGAGTGGTTACAAAGACCATCTGTGCATTTGGACCAGACTTATTTGGTTAAATACTAAATTCATGGAAGTGACTAAACCTCCAGCTGTTTTTGACAGGGTTCACCAGCAGTGGCAAGCTCGGGGTGGCAGGGCCCGTGGAAATAGGGCCGGGGTGGATATGGTCACCCTCCCTCCTGCGTGAAGCAGGAAGGGCTGCTGGGACGATGTGGAGGAGGCCCCAGCCACAGCCAAGGCTTTAGGTGCAACAACGTGAAAGGTTCTTCTGAGGTCAGAAGTAGCGGCTTCATAAGGTCCAGCGTCAGGCACCTAAGTGTCGGCGGGTTAATGGAACAGTGGTAAGAGCAGATTGCCGTGAGGAGAGGTGGGGTTTGGTATGGGATGGAGAACGTGCCATAAATGCACAAAAGGTAGTTAAAGCCCAGCCCTACCCCACAGCTGCCCACTAGCATCAGAAGCACCCCCCCATCCCAAACTGGTCGCTGGCCTCACTGTCCTGACGGCCGGTCCATTCCTGGTGCGAACATGGCCATTTCTGTGAACTCGTGACACATCTTGTTGGAGTTTGGGCACTTCTTGAAAACCAGAAATGACCATGTTCGCACACGTGTCTCTTTGGGCCGCAGGTGTTCATACAAGTCGAGACGAGTCCCTCCTCTTGATAAGCCTGAGCTTAGAATGGCAGCCGTGCTCCTGGGCCTGAGTCACCGCCCGCACTCTGGCCCCCGGTCACAGCTCCCTCATCACACAGGGACGAGGGCCTGGGTGGGCTCCCCAGGTTGCTGCCCTGCGTCCTGCAGTTCCCACACAGTAACCCCACAGGAAAAGCACCATTCACACTAGTCACTTCTGCGAAATTATCAGGGAGCCAGAGTCTCACACTGCAGGGATTCCCCCAAGGGGAACATTCGAAGGAAGCAGTTCCAGTAGAAAAGCACTGAGAACCCCATCCCAGTGGTGGTGGGCTCCGGGCAGTGCACCCCAGCCCACCCTAACGTGCTCAGGAAGTGCCTCCGACACGCAGCTGGAGCCACACGGTTCTGCGAGTGTCTTCAATCAAGTCCAAAGTCCCCCTTGCACTCCTGGGAGATGATACTTTAAAAAAAAAAAAAAAAAAGATTTATTTATTTATTTCTACATACAAGAACTGGGGTGTAGGACAGAGGTGGGGCATGAGAGGACTCCCCAGAAACGGAGTGGGGAGCAAAACAGGTGGATCAACTGAAATCCACTGCTAAGGGGAGCAGCGGGGAGATAGGAGAGGTCTGCTGCACCCTGCCAGTCAGCTCCCTGGCCAGCTGGGGATCGAACTCATGCCACAGTGGCAGATAATAGCTTGATATCACTGAGACTAACCCCTGCACCATCAGGGAGGCCCCAAAGATAATACTTTTGTAACTAGTTTTAAGTGGCTATTGTGAAACACATTTATCAAAATATTGATTTTGTATTTTAACTGGCTTCTCTGCCTAAAAAGTATAAAGCACATCCTGGTTTGTTTCTGAGTTCAGAGTTCATCCTGGGAACTGATCACAACAGGATATTCTAGAGTAAAGACACTCCTTTCTCACAGTGGAAGAGCTGAGAATTTTGTTTTACAGAAGCGCATCCAGGTAAACTATTTTTCCTCTTTATGATATAAATGGTTATTTTTATTCTCTGTCAAAAAAGACTTAAATTGTTGTTTCCATCTTGGTCTGATTCTGGTCCCCGATGAAAAGAATACCATGTACTAGGCATGGAGAGGAATTAAAGTCCTGAGACAAGTACTTGTAGGATTAGAGCTGTGGGAGGCGGAGTGCATGTTAGTGCATATTGACAGGTCTTAAGTCTGACCCCTGAACTCCAATCTGGTGGTTTCTGAGAAGCGGGGGCCAGCTGCGGCCAGGTGCACATGCAGGGAAGGTGAGCAGGCAGGCCCAGACCCTTTCACACCACCACTCTTTTCTCTCAGGAACTGGCTGGTTATGTTACAGGACAACCCCAATATGAAACAGGTTGCATGACTGTGGGTCCTCACCCACATGCTAAACTGCAGACACACACAAAAGGTTAATAAAAGGTTTATTTACAAGAGAAGGGGAAATGAAGAAATGAACAACTCAGGGAGAAAAAGAGGGATATTAATTCATGAATGCATCCTACCCATTCTGCTGACTTGGAATCCCAATGACCCGCTGAGAGCTGGCAAAAAGCCAAGCACCGTGAGGCCAAGAGAGCGACCCCAGCTCACAAGGCTGGTTAAATATCCAAACAAAAATATTGCTGCTTAACTCCACCCTCAGGTCCTCACAACCCTCCTTTTGGTTATCATGGGATTTGTAGTTCCCAGTGTCTTGATGGAGTTGGGGGTGGAGTCCACAAAACCTGTGTGGAGCTTGCTCAGGACATCCTTTCCCCCTAACACACAGGACACAGGGCAGAGACACTGGTCTTAATCCTCCATGAGAATTCGGGGCTGGGCAGGGAGCTTTGATGGGTGCACAGGAAGGGACTTGGTGGTAACATCACCCAGGAGTACCTAAGTACTGGGGGGAGGAAAGGTGCCTGTACACATGTCCCTCAGATTCGTTCTGGATGTGGAACAATGAGACAAAACCTTTGGGGCTTCCCTGGGGGTCTAGCAGTTGAGTCTCAGGCTGTCACTGCTGTGGCCTGAGTTCGATCCCTGGCCAGGGAGCTGACCCCCATGGCTCAGCAGACCTCTCCCATCTCCCTGAGGCTCCCCTCAGCAGTGGATTTCAGTGGATCCATCTGTTCTGCTCCCCACTCTGTCTCTGGTGAATCCTCTCACCCCTCATACCTCAGACCTGCACCCCAGCTCTTGTATGCATAAATAAATAAAATAAATCTTAAAAAAATAATAGACAGGCAGATATTCTGTGTATGTGAGTGCATGTGTATGCACATGTGTAGTTGTCCATTTCTTGGCCATTGCGAATAATGCAGCCACGAGCATGGATGCATGCTCTTGTGTTGGCTGAGGTCTCTCTCTGGCAGTGGGATTATGGGAGCACATGATAGTTTTGTGATTTCTTGGGGACCCCCCCGGACCCTTTTCCATAATGGTGACACCTATCTATGTTCCCACAGCGCATGAGCTTTTTGTGTCAAATCCAAAAAGTTATCATCAGCACAATGTCAAGGATCTTATCATATGCTTTCTGGTAAGACTTTTAAGGTTCCAGGCCTTACATTAAAGTTTTTAATCCATGTTGAGTTGATTTTTGTGTTTTGTGGAAGATGAGTCCAGTTCCGTTCTTCGGCATGTAGGGGGTCCAGTTTCCTCAGCACCGTTCATTGAAGAGACCATCCTTTCCAAGTTGTGTGTCCTTGGCCCATCGCCCCCGAATGCATGCCCACACATGTGTGTGCACACACGCACATGCACGCATACCCACATATACACCACACACATGCCCACATGCATGCACACCCACAGACATGTGCACACATAACCACACACATGCATGCTCACAGATATGCACACCACACAGACATGCACACAAACATGTGCCCACCCATATGCACACCCCACAGACATGCACACACATAACCACACATATGCTCAGCCCCTCACATGCACACCCCACACACATGCACGCGCACCCCCCCAACACACACATGGTGCCTCATGAGCGTTTGTACACTAGACGCTGGTCGTTGTCATCCTGTGCAGTCGTGTTCTTGCAGGTTTATGAGAAATAGCTGAGAACCACTACGCTCACTGCTTTCCCAGCTACTGACAATGGTGTTTCTGGTCTTTACTGGAGACCCTCCTCGTCTCCTACTGCATGAGGAACCCCCCAGCGGAGATAGTAGGCTTCTCTGTGACCAATGCCCTGGGATGATGTCACCCCCCAGAAGCTGGCACAACATTGTCATAGCTCCCAGTTTCATTCTGCTTAGAGATGAGGTTGTGTGGGCCAGACTGGGTCAGGCAGACTCAGAGGACACCAAGGAACATCCCGAGCTGAGCACCCGGAGCGAGCATCACAGGCAGAGGCCTTGACTGCTGTGTCAGCAACACCGCACAGCTAAATGGACGGCGTGGAGCCGGCTGCACAGGGCAGGACACTGCTGAACAAGTAAGATCCTGGCCTTTTTACTGACAATCATCCAGCATCAGTCACGTGGAGTAGGAGGATAAGGAGAAGAAGATGGGTGATACTAAAGAATGTGGTTTTGTCATCTAGGGCTTCGGGGGGGCATGAGTCTGCTGAACAGATAATCCTTATCTGCTTGACGACCAAGTATTGTCATCGGAACCAGCCCCCAGACCCCTGCCATGGATCCAATCTTATCAACAAGGCATTCCACTGATCAGCTTCTGGGGTTCTCTCCCTGTGGCTCCCCAGGTGTTCCCGGTCATACCTCTTGATGTATGAGTCAGGAGTACATTTATGCATCAGTCCTCAGCCCCTGGGCATTCCTAGTCATGCCCTTCCCTGGGTGATCCAGCTTCCTGCTCTTGGTTGATTTGAAAGGCAACTTGCGGAGCTTCCCTGGTGGTGCAAGGGATTAAGACACAGCACTATGAAGCTATCCGCAGCCACTGCAGCACAAGTTCCATCCCCGGCCAGGGAGCTGACCCCCCACGTCACAGCAAACCTCTCCGAGCCCCAACCTTGGCCTATAAACTCCCACCCCAAAGAGCAGGTCCTGCTCCCCTCAGCAGTGGATTTCAGTAGATCCGCCTGTTCTGCTCCCCACTCTGTCTCTGGTGAATCCTCTCACCCCCGCACCTATGGCCTACAACCCAGCTCTTGTATACATAAATAAATAATTTTTTTTTTAAAAAGAAAGGCATGTTGTGAGGTTTGGCTCTGACTGAATGACTGGGCAGTTCTGACCTTGTACAGGAGCGCAGAACCGCAGGTTACAAAAAGTGGTGGCCGAACGGGCCGCTTAAGTCTGGTGGACCCACACTTGACCACACAGGGGAGTCACTGCAGGTTTTAAAACAACACCCCTGGGCCCCATCTCACCTCAGGGTGCAAACTCCCCCATGATCTGATGTGCAGACGAGCCTGCTGGAGACCCACTGTCTCACCAAATCACCGTGCAGTGATTCAAGCTCTGGGCTGCACCCTGGGAGGAGGAGTGCTGAGCCCCTCGTGCACCCACATGCTAGGCGCCCAGGGAAGACCGCCCCAGCTAGCCGTCAGCAGTGACGCCGCCGTGTCCCTCTGTGGGTGCACTGCATTTGGTCCTATTTTAACTTCCCCACACACCCAGGTGGGGGAGGCACATAATCGCGTGTCTGACCAGGAGGAACAGGAAGGGGAACTATGTGTAAGACCCACCACCCAGAATTTCCAGCCTTGCAAAGTCCTCACAGTATAATCTCCCCGAGGCAGCAGCGTCCCTCCCTGGGGAAAGACAGGCAGACTTTTCAGAAAACGAGGAGCTGCAAAGGAAATGACTGTCGTGGAGCAGTGAGTGGAGTGGGGGGTGGCTTCATCCAGAGACCCGAGCAGCTGCGAGGCTGTGTCTTCCCACCTGCCCTGCACCCCCCTGTACTCCCGTGTCAGTGCCAGAGGCGGACGGGGCAGCAGAGCTTGGATCCCTGAACCTCCTGGCATTCTCCACCAGAGATCTCCCGCTAGAGCCTTCGACATGGCCCTGAAGCAAGAGCAGAGGGAGTGACTGACCTCGCTGTGATGTTGGAGGTTCTTAAGGACTAAGATGAGGTTACAGCAGTAAGAGGAAAGGTGTCTGAATATTCAGCTCTTCCGATTTCCAAAGAACAATTATGGGACTTTTAAGGCTGTGCCCCAGGACCCTTGGACTTGCCTGCGGAGGGAGGTAAAGGTCTCTGTTATTTAACGTAATCACTTCTAGAAGCTGCTGCCAGTGACCTAATCCTGATTAGAGCTTGGGGACTTTCAGTCCCAGCCGAACCCCAACCTGTGGCCTATAAACTCCCACCGCACAGAGCAGGTCCTCTGCCCTCTGGGGAATAATTTACCAGAGAACAAGGGGTGCAGTGAACCAAGCAAGGCTTTATCAGACCTGGGCATGAAGGCGCAGCGGGAAAAAGGAGACCTGCGCAGCAACTCCAGGGGGCACCGAGTGATATTCGAGGGTAGGGAGCGACCTCCAAGCTGGAGCTGGGGCGGCGCTCCCGGGCATGCGCAGTGCGTCCTAGTCACCTGCGCGTGCTCTGGGCCTTCTCCCTCCGGTACCTTGAGATGGTCGTTGGGCAGGACCTGGAGCTCTGTCCATCACGGGGCCTCATGATCAGTGTGGTGGGCAGGCTGCCAGGCCGCGACACAGCCCTCCGGCCACACAGGCCTGGGGTAACTCATCCCCACAACCCCCAACTCCCCCCCCCACCCCTCCACACCCCTCCTCCTTTTCTCTCCGGAGGCTGTTTCTGGCAGGGACCCTGCTCAGGTGAGAGAGCACATTCAGCCGCTGAATTGCCAGGACCCTCTCGACGCTGGTCTCGGGTAGGCAGGTGCTCTTGCCTGCCTCACAGACTTCCACGAATCATTTTCTTATTTTTTTTTAAAAAAGATTTATTTATTTATGCATACAAGAACTAGGGTACAAGCCAGATGTGCGGGGGTAAGAGGATTCCCCAGAGACAGAGTAGGGAACAGAACATGCAGACTGACGAAGGGGAGCAGTGGGCAAGACAGGAGAGGTCTGTTGTACCATGTGGGTCAGTTTCCTGGCTGGGGCTTGAACTCCTGATGCAGAGGCTGTGGATAGTTTTACATTGCGGGGCTTAACCCCTTCCGCCACCAGGGAAGCCCCATTTTTGACTCGAATACGGTAGTCATGATTTGCAGTCCATGTTTTCATTTTTGGATGAGCCCCTCACTGAATATAATTATAACAGGGGGGTCCCCAGGAAAATGGGAGGTGCCAGGCTCCCTGCCCTACCCAAGGCAGGATGGAGCAGAGCAGGGAGAGGAGAAGCTGGAGAGGACCCTGGGGAAGGAAGGGAGAGGATGGGGAGCAGGAGGAGACCTGGAGGAGGTGCAGGGGGCAGAGACAGGAGATGAAGCTGCACCTGCTTCCTGGCCCTGGACGGGTTGGAACAGACATGGGTGAGACCATGGGGAGGTGACAATGGCAGCATTGATCTTGATTTTGGTTTTGTTTTTCCCTCTTTGTCTGGCTGTTTCTGCCCCTTTCCTGTGGGTCCTCACCAGGAGGTGCTTTACACATGCAGCAGGTTTTTGGGCCTCAGAGGCCTGCTTTGGGCCACCCCTGTTGGGCTGGACATTTACCCACAAGGGGAGGGGTGACTTTGGGTGCTTGATTTGGGAACTTTATTCTTCCTCTTTTCTGTATAACACACTAATTGTATTAAAGTTCCTTTCCATTATAGGTCTTACGCATTAGAGTATGTTTTGTCTTGATGTGGTGGATGGCAGAACCCATTTAGAGTGGGCAAGTTTGGGGGTTCTGGGGTGCCCCCTCTCTGTCCTGTAACATAATAATGCCAATTTCATTCAATATGTAATAATACTCATAAAAAGCAACAGATGATAATTTCCCCATTTAACATGATGATGCAAGGTGTTAAATTAATTTAAAATAACTGTCCAAAAATGATTTGTCAGTGAATAAATTTTTAAATAACATGGTGTTTTGTTGGGAAGCCATATGCATGTTAAAACAGGCTGAAATATCACTGTGTGGTATTTGGTGACATCAAAAATAGATGAACTTTTTCATTACCTACTAATGGGATTCTCAAAATTGTCCCTGAGTTATTTTGATAAATTTTAATGTTGTGTTTCCACACAGCAAGATGAGGGTAGATCGTTTTAGTTTGCTGCTTGCAAGCATTTCCCAAACTAAAATTTCTCCACATGAATGAGGATTTTCATCAAGTGAAAAGTCCAATTTTTCTCACCGCTTTTCAAGTTGTTAGAGACCATTGGTTGCTGTGGAAGAATCTAATCAGATGTACATGATCAGGATTTGAGGAATGAGTGTGTTCAGGCTGATTGGCAGAATTATTACCATTTACATGTCGTCATTTATTAAATGTTGACACCACTGCTCCTAAGCATTGTGTGTTTAGGAAATATGATCAGGTATAAAACAAGGCGCAGCTTCCTTGCCAGTGAGCCGGGCTGGGTTGATCCTCACTCAAGGAAAGAACCTGCAAAAGTCCTTCGTTGAAAGAAGTCAGGAATCTGGAGAGGGGCCAGGTCTGAGGGGATAGGCAAGGTCACTGCTGGGAGAGCTGTGGGTGGTGCAATCCACAGGAAAAGGCATTGCTCCCATACCCTAAAGTATCCCTAGTGGCTGGATTTCTCTTCAAACATTTCACACAAAAAGTAGGACAAAGCAGATATGGCTAACTGTTAATGACTGTTAGACCTTGGCGATGGGCCTGCTCATACTTCTTTCTCTACTTTTCTGCATGTTTGGAAATGCTCACAATAATAAGGAAATGCTGGCACCTCTCCCTGCAGTGACCCTTAGGGCTAATGGCTTGCGCCACGGTCCCTAGGTCCGGCTGGGCAACCAGCGCGCAGGGGGAGAACAGCAAAACCCCCTGAAGATATACTTGCTGCACCTCCTCCTGCAGTGACCTCTAGGAATCCCTGGGTCCGGCTGGGCAACCAGCGCGCAGGAGGAGAACAGCAAAAACCGCCTGAAGACATAGATAAGACGGAAGCCTGTTGAAAGATAACGACCACCAGGAGCCACTACAGGAACGCTGTCCGCACGGAAACTTATCTCACCTTCTCTAGACCCACAAACTTCATTCTAATACAACTGTCTCTCTAAAATCTTTTCTCTTTCTCTGTTTAAAAGGTCATTGGTTTGCCGATTAAAAAAGAACATACGAAATCTAATAACTAGGCTGATTCAAATGAAACGTTACTAAACTCTGTGTATTAATTGAACTGCTAGCTTAATAATTTCTCCGTTGTATACTTAGCCTTGTTTGTATTAATCTAAATGATAAAAATATTACATTGTGAAAAATAAAATTCACCCGTGTTAATTAATAGTAATAGTGAGTAGTTAAAACAAAAAGTATTCACATAAAACAAAAAGAAAAATTAATAGCCTAACTAGTTAGGAATGCGCCTGGGTCCAGATGTAAATCACTGCCCTGTCAATGATAAGCTAAACCTATAAGCAAGCTGATTTCTTCACTGATGTTCGCCATTCCTATGCTTTTAGAAAACATATATATACTGGTCACCAACTCAAATAAAATTACACTCAGATTTTCACTCTTGAAGTGTGTCTGTTTGTCATTTCTTTAACCGAATCCCTGACCACCCTGCGCAGTCTCTCAACCCTGAGACGGCCTCATCGCTCACTGCTGTGCTGGTCCACGGCAAGGAAAGACAAACAAAAACAACCACAAAGTAAAATAGAGAATGAACAAGGCGAGATCCAGCCCCCAGGGGTGCTGGGCTCTGCGCAGAAAGGATGGTTCCCCTAAGGCCTAGATCTGCTCACCCCTCATGTCCCCCACCCCCGCCAGGCCCTCAACAGAGATCACACTGTTGCCAGGAGATTCTCCAACAGTTTTGCTCTTTTATTTACTGTTATTGCTGTTTTAAAACTAGAAATTGAGGCAGATGTCATTGCTCCCTGGAAGGATCTGACTCTAGGAGATCATCTTCTGGCCCCTTTGGGATCCCCATATTAGGACCTCTGGAGTGTGAGGTGGGTGGGCTCTTTCTGTCCCGAGGGAGGTGGGCAGGGAGGGTTTTCCTGGCTGCTGGTTCTCAGACTCAGTAAAAAACACGTGGCTGAGTCCTCAGAGTCCTTCCCTTTTGGATGACTAGGTAGGTGCGACGGGGGGGGGGGGGTGTGGTAAACAGCAGACACTCTTAAACAGGCTTCTCTGAGGCCCCCACCAGGTCAGCCCCACAGCCCCATCCCTGGAGACCCCCAGCCAGAGTGCTCGGAAAGCTCACATCTGGGGACCCTTTGCCCTTTCACCTCGCCCTCTACCGGGCCAAGCGTGCACTTACCAAGCGCCTCTTCTGCCTGTTTCCAAGCTCACCGGTGCTGGTCCTCATGGCTTTGACAAAAATCCACGTGAGCCAATAAAATGCAAGTGTGGGCCCCGCAGATGTCACCATAAAGGGAAGATGGGCTGGGCCTACATTACAAGCTTGGAAACCTTGAATGAGCTTTTTATGACTTCAAATAAAATAAAGAAGCTGTTTAAGGGCACATTGTTATTTGAGTCTAATTATAGCCAATCCCTCTTCAGTGGGGCCTGGTGCAGTGCCACCATCCCTGACCGGATTCTAATGAAAATAACTGGATCATTGAACTGTTTTCCAGCGAGCTTGGTCAGGGGCCACGTGGCTGTCCCTTCTTGGCCTGTCCCCCCAGGGTTTTATAGGAAAGAGTGTGGACCCACTGCAGCTCTGTGTGCTCCGGGGGCAGACACTCCCCTCCTGCCCCCACCCCCACCACTGCCTCCCAGTGCGGGGCTGTCTGGCCTTCCCACTTGTCCCATGACCCCCACATCGGATATTCCATGCCCACTGCCCGGCGTGGAGCGACAGTGGGCCTACGGGGAGGCGCTTCTAGGTCAAACTCAGGTGCATCCAGGCCAGTTGGAGGTTTGAATTCACAGCTGGAGGTTTGAATTCACTCAGGTGTCTCCAGGCCAGTTGGAGGTTTGAAAGATGCGGGAGGAGCCTGGGGTGGGGAGGCCTGGGCTCTCCAGAGCACGCAGCCCAGGGCTTGCATCACCTCAGGAAGGAGCTGCTGGGGACTGCCCACACCCCAAGCTGACCACCTCAGACCCCATCCAGTGCCCAGGGAGGGACGGGTCATCACTGGCAGGCAGGAGGAGAGTGACCTTTGTCCCTGCAAGGCCCAGGACTCAAGGACTCAGGTCGGAGACTGTGTAGGAGCAAGCCCACGGGATCTGGTTGTGAGGAAGACAGAGGTGGCCTGAGCCTCAGTTTCCCCACTTGCTCCTCCAGGACTAGGGACTCCGAGGCCCCTTCATCTGAGGCGCCTTCAGATTTGCCCACTCGTGAGGCTGCAACCTACTCACAGTGGTGAGACCAGCCAGTCCCCAGCAGAGTGGACGCCCCAACCATCCCTCTTGCATCCAGAGAGGGGTGAGTGGACAGCCTGCAGTTGGGGGAGAAGGCAGGTCTTGGCCGCAAGGCTGGTCAGCTCTCCCGCATCCTGACAGAGTGGGACTGGAAGCTGGGGCTGGTTTGTGTGCTCATACCCTGGTCCCTGCGGGGACAGGGCTGCTCCAGCCAAGTGGCAGCTCTGGGGGCCAGGGCAGCCTCGGCCTTGGTTCTGGACAGTGGCCAGCGGAGAGGGCGGCGGGGGGGAGGGTCTAGAATGGGCAGGAGGCCCGCCTGTCATGCTCTCCCGTGATGGCCCTGCCCGTCAGTCCTGGTGGGGTGCCCGGAACTCGGGCATACTCCAGGTGCGCGGGGGCGGCGGCGCCACCCGCTCCACATCCTCTGAGATGGTGGGGATGTCGCTGGCGAAGGGCGCGATGCGGGCGCGGGGTCGAAAGGCGGCCAGCGCGGGCCCAGCGCGGGGCCACTGGCTTGTTAGCTTGAGGGCCTCCTCCTCCTGCCGCATGAGCTCCAGCACCTCCTGCAGCACGGAGCGGAAGAGCCGCGCCACCTCCTGCACCTCAGGCTCCCGCTCAGCCAGCAGCTGCCGGAACCTGGGCGCAGGGGCTGGGCTCAGCAGGGGCTCCGCAGGGGAGGGGGGAGACCTGGGGCTGCCCTGGCCTCCCAGCCCCACCCGGAAAGCCCCAGCCCCCACCCCCAAGGAGCCAGCAACCACCCCTCCCTGCTGCTCCAGTTCGAATCCAGACCCGCCACTTCTGAAGAAGGAGTTGCCGTGTTAACATCTGGGGTAATAGCACCCACACAAGGTCAGTAGGAAGCTCCCAGATGCTCCCTGTCAGAGCTCAGGTGCCCCTGGCCTGCGCCGGCCCCCCCTGGGAGCACCTGAGCCCAGGAAGCGGCTGCAACTGGAGGATGTCTGTGCCGTGACCCCTGCCTGCGGCCACCATCCCCAATAACCCTGGCTAGCCTGCTCTTGGCCTCTTTCAGATCCCCTGCCCTGCTCTCCTGGTGCTCATGGGTCACCCAGGCCTGCTGGCTCGAGTCCTGGGGCCTGGGGCCCCTATCATCCCCACCCCTCCTGGGCCCACAGCCGACATGGTTCGTGCAGGTGGTTACCTGAGGATGGCAGGCCCGCAGTAGGAGGGGTGGATCTTGGCACAGACGTCTTCCAGTTGTAGCCGCTCGCCGGGGCTCAGGTCATAGCTGGGCCGGGGCGCGCTGGCCAGCCAGCTATAGTCCGCCCCGGTGCGGACCTTCCTGACCGCGTGGGTGCGCGCCCGCTGCTGCCGCTCCACCTCCCGCATCTGCCCCGCCAGCTCCATCATCAGCGTCTCCAGCACCATCTCAGCCGGACTCCGGGACGACAGCCGGGGCAGGGCCTCGTTCCAGCGGAACCACGGGGTGAGGGACATGGGTGGCGTGGGGACCTGTGGTTCTCCGTATGAGAGGAGGGGAGGTGAGAGGCGTTCCTCCCGCACTGCTGGGTGGCTCCGGGAAGCAACTCAGCCTCTCTGAGCACTCATCTCTGGTGCTGCAAGACGAGAGAGAACAGTTGTGTGCAAACCTGGGTTGCACCAGGAGCCAGGTCCCCATGAGAGGTGCTCTTGGTCAGTGCAGCCGAGATGCATTCAAATGCCTGAGCCCCAAGAAACTGCCTCCTGGATCCTCTGACGCCAGCATTGTAGGAAATACTCTGTGTGACTATACCTGTAGTCACACTACAGGTGTCTAAAACCCATGCTGACTTAACAGGAAAGCACACCAAGTTTCTAAATGGCGGGGCACTTGCTGTGGGAAGCAGGATTGACACCATCCTGCAAAAGACACCCCCCCCCCCATCCATTCATTCGCTCAGAAGCATTAAGCCAGCACTTTGCTCACATCTGCGGAGGAGCACAGCTGGGAGAGTGCATTGAGCAGAGACAGGACAGTGCGCCACACCAGAGCCAGCGCTGGTGGGGCATGAGTGGGAGGCCTCCAGATAAGGAGAGGGGTGTGGGTGAGAGTGGCTGATGGCGAGAGCAGGCTCAGGCACAGGGACTGATGGGGATGGTGTCGCGGGTGGGTGACTTAGCCAGGGTACATGGAGAGATGTGTACAAGGAGCATCGGGTCAAGAGCAGGGACCCCAACTCATTGTCTTACTTCCACCAAGGGTCCTGCTCTACACAGTTTGATGACTGACTAGGGGGATGAATGGATGGCTTCATGAGTGGATGGACGGATGGACGGACTGGTGGGTGGATGGATGGTGGATGAGGCTTGATGCCAGCCTCCTTGCTAAGGTGGGCGAGACAGAAGCAAGCAGAGTAGGCCTGATGCATGTAGTCTGGGCCTGAGTCATCATCCGAGACAGGTGTTCCCCCCAAGTCAGAGGGCAGGGCTTAGGGCGGGGGCGGGAAGGATTTCCACCTGAGTTCTTGGATGTCTGAGCTCTCTGGCCTAAGTGGCAGTGACTGAGGGGCAAGAGGGAGCTCTGGGTTTTCTCACCCCTCTCCACCGCTCCCCATCACCCCCCCAGACTACAGGCTCTGACAGAAACTGGCTCCTGCAGCAGCTATTTCAGGCTCTGACCCGCCCTTCTCTTGGGGCCTGCAGCAGGCCTGATTAAGGTCTTACTGTGAAGGAGAGTGGCACAGAGCGGCGCAGAGGCTTATCCCAGGGCACCAGAGCTGCTGGCCTGGGGAGGGGCCCCTACAGGTGCCGTCTCACAAAGACGGCCGGAAGGTTTAGCTTTGGATTGACCCCGTGGCTGGGGGGACTCTGGAAGCTTACCACCGAGTGTCTCTGCTCCCCAGTTAGTCAATAACACCTGCCTCGACCTGCAGTGTGTGATCATGACTGAATTCTCATCTGAGAAAAAGTAGGACACCTGGGGATCCTGCCCACGAGCTGAGGGTGGAGACAGTGTTACCGTCACGGGTCATGGACAAGTGGCCCAGAGGGGGCGGCGCGGAGTATTCCTGCCACCACATCACACGAGTTGTTCAGAAATGTCACACACACATGTGCGCGTGCACACACACACACACACACACACACACACGGCAAAGCCTGCAAAATGGTCACCACCAGCAAAGCAAGTCATGACAACAAATGGCGGGTGTCCCCGTGATAGTCACCTGGACTATAAACACCTCCACAGACCTGGGCGCCAACACAGCCGAGGCCCCAGGTATGGGGGGGCAAGACAGGTGGGGGCCTATAGACCCCCATAGACACAAATCCAGGGAAGCCTTCACCGTCACTTTCTTTACCGCCTTGCTCGGCTGCACTGTCTGCCTGTTCGGTCACAGTCATCACTTGAAAGCAGGGACCCCAAGTCAAAGCTCGCCTTCCTGTCACCCCACCCACCACGGACGTCTTTCTCCCTCTCCGCCACACCTGTATTAGTCTTCCTGCGCTCCCAGACGGACCAAGGCTGGGGGCCTGGGAGCCAGGACCAGAGCCCTGGAGGCCTCCCCACACCACGTGCAGGAAAGGGAGGGACACAGTCTGGGCAGCCCTGGGCCAGCCCTGCGTGGAGGGCACCCCTGTACTGCCAATGCAGGGACTCCAGGCTGTGCCCCTGTCCCCTTGCTCCGTCTGACAGAGGAAGCAGCTATGGGTCCTCCCCTCCTGCCTCAGGCACCAGAGAAGCTGTATCCTTCAAGCCTCAGTGTCCCCAACTGTAAGATGGGGTGAGATGCTTGTGCACCCCACAAGCTAAGGAGAAAGTGGCTTTGTCTGGGTCTGGACCTGCCGCTGCTTGCCGTGCCGGGATTCTTCCCTGGAGCCCAGGGGGCGACCCAGAGCTGGGCCAGCTCTAGCGAGTCTATATTTCCATGAACTTGACCTGGAAGGTCCTGTCTCCATCGGCTGTGCAGGCAGACCAACCCCCGATCCTGCCCCCAACCCCTCGATCCCGCCCCTGCAACTCTGGTGAGCTCCAGGCAGCTTCCCACACAAGTGCTGTTCTCAAATCATCCTTGGACACTTGTGTCCACTGTGGACCCGGGGTTCCAGAGGGCTGCACTCGGCTTTATGATTTTCGTGCCAGACCGTCCTGTGAACAAGCCCCAGTGGTGGCCACACAGACGCAGGCTCCTGCTCCCACGAGAGGGACTCACTGCATTTAGAGACGTTTTGCTGAGAACAGACCCAGGGGCCTCACAGGCCCCTGAGCAGCCTGCGGCCCCCAAAGTGAAGCAGTCCCTGGTTTGATGCTGCCTGGACCCCAAGTCTGCTCCTGACTTTGCCGCAGCCTGGCTTTTGGGACAGCTGAGGGCCCCGGGCAAGAAAGCTTGGGGGAGGAGTGGGGAGATCAGGGGAAGGGGTCCCCACTGCCAGTCTCCATGGAAACACCCAGCCGGGTCCCCCTGTGCCCTCATGTCACCACTGGTCTGTCCTCACCCATCCCCTGTGCTCCCTCTGCCCTCCTCTCACCCGCCTCTCAGGGCCTCCCTGCAGCCTATTTGTGAGCATCCCCAGGGTCAGCACCAAGCTGGGGATCCCGGTGGACACCACCCCCCACTGTGACTCGTTAGAGAAGCTAGAACAACCGCACGCAGGAGGTCAGGGATGGGGGGGGCTGTCCCAGCAGCAGGAGAGCCAGGGGGCACTGGGGGGCAGGGCCCTGATCCTGCAGATAGGGGGAGGGTCCATCTGTTCCTGCTAGCACCCAGCCTCCCAGGAAGGAAGGGACATCTCAGTCCCAGCCAGGAGCTGTCTTGGGGACCCCCTCCCAGTCCCCTCTCTGTTGAGGCTCTAACAGCAGAGCTGGGGTGACTGGCAGGGCGGGGAAGGCTGATGCCCCAGGGCGGGTCTATGCATCCCTGTCCCAGAGCACCTGCAGCTTCAGGGCAGGCAGGGAGGCACCTGGCATGGGGGAGATGCCTCATAGGGGTACAGAGAGCAGTGCCCCCTCCAGCCCAGCCAGCACCGCAGCCCCTAGATGGGCCTTCTTTGTCTTTGTCATCATGGAAAAAAATTCATCGAACCTGGTGTGACTTGGCCTCACCTGGGGATCCCCATCCACCTGACCAACACCAGCTCAGCTCTCCAGAACTCACGGTCACCTCTGCAGCCTGTGCCCCACTGAGGGGGTGGCCACAGGCCTGCCCACATCCAGCCCCCTGGCCGCTCCGTCCCAGCCTTTGCAACAAACGGGTTTTCTGCTTCGGCTTTTTCTCTCCCCACACCTGGCTGTGAGCACAGGGAGGCGAGAGCTTTTGGCAGAAGCTGCTGGCATGAAGTAGGTGCCAGAGAAGTGCTTCCTGAATGAGTGAATGAACAAATGGATGCATGAGTGAATGCCAGGCTTCATTCCCAGGTAGAAGAGAGACCAGGAGGGGTAGGTATAGGGGTCGGACTGACCACCATGAGAGGGGCTGGTTCCCCAGAAGCCCCCCTGGCCCCCCAGGCGGTTCCTATGTCCCTCCCCAGCTCCACCCTTCCCCCACCCCTGCTGCTCATCCAGACCAGAGCACTGGGGCGAGCGGGGACCCAGACACCTCCAAGGCCTGGGCCCAGACCCGCATCCCCTGCCTGTCCTGGGCTCTGCACTCGTGTCCCAGTGGTGGCCCTGTGCCTTCTCCTCTCTGACCTGGGGTCCTGCTCCCCCTGCTATGTGTTCCCATGAAAGGAGAGACAAACTGGGTTGGGCCGCCCAGAGAGGCTCGATGCTCCTCAGGGACCAAGGCCCTGGCCCCGAGTCACAAAGCAGGCCCAGGTGGCCCGGCGCTCTGCAGAGTCCCCAGCCTTGGGGCAGGTGACTTCAGGCTCCCCAGCCATCACTCACCCACTGCCTCCACTGTCCCTGCCTGCCGCCCCTAGCTGTGGCCTCACACTAGGCACCCTGCTCTCAGGGTGCAGGTGGGGAGCCACTGTTTCCTGGGAAGATGACCCTCTTACCTGGCCACCTGAGGTAAGAGGGGTGCACATGAGGTCCTGCTTCTGTCCCCAGGCCGGGAGCAGGTGCTTGAATCTTTTCAGGGCCAAGTAACGTGTCGGCAGCAGGACTGAGGGACCATCTCGCCCAGAGGACCACTTCTGTTCCTCCTCTGGCGCAGCTGCCTCAGCTGTCCTGGCGTCTGTTTGTCTGTCTCTGAGAAGTGTGCCTAGAGCAAACAGCTCAGCGCTGGCCAGGGCAGGGCTCCCCTGGGCCCCGAGTCCCCCAGAGGCTGGAAGGGAGCTGTGCTCTGTTGCCCTGGAGACTCACCTAAGCCTCTTCCACCTGAGCTGATCTGGTCCAGATGGCGCTCCCCGCCCTATGGGGCGATGCTGGCCGGGGCGCAGGGCCTGTTTCCCTCACCAGCCCTTGGCCAGATGCCCCTCTGGGCTGTCCCTCACAAACTCAGCAGGGGAGGGAGGCCCAGAGGGCTGAGGGGGGGCCTGTCCTCCTGGCCTGTGATATGCCTCTGGGGGAGCTGGGC